GATTCGCGTCTTTAATTTACTATAGAAATAAGGGGAGAAAAAATAGATTTTTTAGATATCATTATATCTATTAACAAGAATCGTTTTATTTTTGATTAATACCGCAAACCTACCTTTTCAGGGAGGTTTTTAAATTTCCACTCAAATCATCCAATTGCACAGAAGAAAGGTATAATTTTTTTCGCTAGTTGACAGAGCTTTTTTAATTTCTGATTTTATGTTTCATACAAAAAATTTGACATTTATTATTAACGTTTTATTAGATAATGACTATGCAGTAACTTTTATTTTTGACACAGTTAATCAAAAATCGTATAAAAAATTTACTTAAAAATAGGCACATAGCACATAAAGATTTGGTTGACAATGTCTGTGCAAATGAATCTGTATCTTGACTTATGGTACCATTTATTCCTTTTCACACAGAAAAATTTAAATAGTTTAATAGAAATGACATCAGGGTATCTTTTCAGTCCTAATAAAATGTAATAGATAAATATATTAAAGTACAAAAGGATATTTGTCCCTATACATCTAAGAGCAATGTAGTTTATAAGATATCGTGTAATAATTATGATGCGTCATACGTTGGACAGATGGACAGACAATTGAAAACCAGAATTACAGAACATTGTAATCATATTAGACATAACACTTCTGTCATAACAGAGCACAGGCTGCAGTATGATCATGATTTCCAATGGGACAATATTAAAATCTTGGATGAAGAGCCTTGCTAAAGGAAACGTTTAATTTCTGAGATGCTCAATATTAAAAAGCAGAAAAATAGTTTAAATTTACAAACTGACACTGAAGGTCTTCACAAGGCATATATACCTATTGTAAATAAGGTTTGACTTTTTGATACTGACAGATCATCTCTTCTCTCAGTCCATGTTGATCCATATCAGCAAGCATACATTATAATCGATACACAATATCCGTCTTACACATCTGTGTTCCACTTAACTATATATATATTCTAATGATTTCTCATACTTATATGGACACACTTGTTTGAATAATTTACATATGATTTTTGGTGAGTTTTAATTACTTATTAGAATTTCGGTATGTTAATTTGGTTGTGTTTATTTTTTCGTAAGAAGTCTTTTTATCTTTTTTTATCAACTAGAACTTTTCCAAGAGATATAAAACACATTTGACTGTTTAATCGTATGTGAATAATGTCGAGTTCTACATCAAAACTCTCCCGAATTGTGATTATAGTGAACATGCGAACATTTCCGATAATTAATTTTGTACTGCGATTTTTTTTTTTTATAAGTTAATGTCTGAAGAGGGTTCAATCCGGCAGTCGAAACTTGTAGTTTATTTGTATTTAAACTGAGTTTTTATTTTATTATATATTTTTTTTCAATTTTACTTTTCTCTATTTGTAATTTATTCTTTTAATTGTGTGACTTTTTTTAAAGAAATATGTTTGACTCTTATAATATTTTGCTTTACTTATTGTTATTTATTCTATAAGGAATAAGGAATAAGGAATCCAACCTATCAGAAACCGTGTATTCCAATATATCCAATATCTGATAGGTTGAAAGCCTTATTTCTTATTCCTAATTTCTTATTCCTTCTATTGTGGCTGCACCTTAATAGAAGTAATATTTAGTGATACATTTTTCTTAAATATAAAAATACAATCCTTTGTATGTTTGGTTCTCAATTCTGAAATGTGTTAGAGTATTTATTGTGTTAGCGTTTTTATGTGTTACGGATCTGTGTTGTGTGTATGTGAATGTACGAGTATCTTCTGACACAAGGGAGAAGAGAAACGGAATTAAAAAGGAGGAGGATCATAAGTGAGGAAGATAATTGGGAAAGGAAAATAAGAGGAGACGGAAAACGGATA